GGGCTTGACAAAGATCTTGGTCTCGTCACCGTCGGAAGGCTTGATACGTCGCACAAACCTCAAGATCCGGAAAGGTTAAGGGCCTATAAGCTCCAAAGAGGTAGGTGATTGGAGCCACAGATTCTTCCAGCACGGGGCCAGTTAGAAGAATAATATGCAACTCACATCTCCAAAAAGCTACAGCTCTCGTTGCAAAGGCTCTCAGAACTTCAATGCCAAACAGAACTTAAACCGTGAAGCCAGAACCAGGGTCGAGGACGGAGACGTCTGCTGCAGTAAAGTCACATGTTGGGTGCTGTTTCACATCAGCAACATTGCAACATGCTATGTCTGGCATTCAGGACAACGCCTGCACGGATCCTGGAACAACCCTTCGCAGTCCTGTATCTTGTCTCAGCTTCGGTGAGGATTCGGTTTACACAACACATGGAGTTGGGGCGTGGAGAAATCAGACACCAAAACCAAGCTCAAGGACCGCCTCATGATTGATGTACGGGACTCTGGAAAGGAAAAGCTTGAACTGGCGGCCGTAGGGTCTAGTCAGACGATAAAGACAAAGATATGGATCAAAGGTTCGCAATTGTGCATCAGTATGTCTATATAAGTCTGCAGGTCTGCCTCCGTGTGTCTGTCTCTGTGTCTCGATGTATGTATGTATGTATGTATGTATATATATATATATATGGTTACATACGCACATACATACATGTAAACTATATATACACACACATATATATATATATATATGTGCATGTAAGAATGTATGCATCTATGCATGCATGCATGTATATGTGTATGAACATTTACGTAGACATATACATATACTTATACATATGCATGCCTACATACATTAAGATGTACAGAATATTGTGTATATATGCGTGTGTATATGTAAACGTAGCTGCATAATCATGTGTTTAATCATCTACCTGTGTATACACATATACATATGATTATATACATATCTCTGTGCATATATGTATACACATGTGTGTGTGTGTGTCGACAGAGACTGTGTGTGCGTGCTCATTGCAATAAGCTCTTTCGCATACCTGTACTTGGGGGTAGCCACCACCCCGGCACGGCAACTGGACGTGGGAACATGCGACGAAACACACAGCCGCAGTGGACTCTGGCTCCGTGGACAATCGATGCTTGAACTGCTCGATTCAAGCTGAGGCAATGAAAACAACTTCGGGTGTCGGAAAGATATCTGGCATTCTCGCGAGGACAGTTTGCTCGATAAACCTACCCAGCAATCAAACACATGGGTACGTACATATGCATATGCCTATATGTATGCCTATGTCCATACAGTATATGCGTATGTATGCGAGTGCAAACAGAAGAGAAAAACAGAGAGGGAGAGAGGGAAAGAGATGATGTTTGTGTGCGTGTGAACCACTGTCTACTTTAATTGCAAGCACGAGGCTGGACCGAATTCAATCCTTCCTGTTTCTGTCGCTCCTCCAGAAAGTTCTGCTGCCGAGTTTTGCAAGCGATGATCTCGTACACGTTCCTCTTTTGAAGGGTTCAACTGTGGGGTTTTAGATAGAGATGGCCTAATCAGGGCTATAGGCCCACGTTTGAGCACTAGTCAGGGTCTACCTGTCTATCTACCAACACTGCAAGCGTGTGGAGTCAAACTTTGCACTGTTCCAGGCGAGGGTTGGGGGACACAGACCACACTGACTGAACTCTCTCATTCATAAAAATCATAAAACTGCCCGAGATTCCCATGACGCGGTCGGAGATATAGCAAATCCAGGAAAACCTTGATGTTGATTTGATTCAGCAACAGCAGGAGCGAGCTTCTCCCCAACAGCTCCAAAAGCAAGCTACGCTTCAGTTCCTATAGAAGCACACGAAACCTTAGCCACTCTTCCTCTGCCCAAGCGAAAGAACTAGGTGCAAAGATGCTCGACAGCCCAGGCACATGATGGTCATGGCGAAGTGCAAACAGGCCTCACTGGCGTGGCTCGGGCCGTCAAAGCATAATGTACCACTACATCCCGCGGCACCCTGACCCCTTGACCCATGTTACCTTATTCTTCCATCTGGGCCACGGGCACCCCGAATGCCTCCGGTTTGCTTCTTACCGGTTCCCATCTCCAAGGACACGAACTTGCCGTAAGCCAGATTCTCAGCAACGCCCCCACCCCCGCCCCCGCCAACATCTGCTTGGACGAATTTGGACGAATATGGACACCGTGAGCTTCCCACCTCTCAACTTGACTACCGCAATCGTCTCTTTCCAGGTCTTCGGGCGTCGGTGATGGCGAATCTGCTGCACTTTCCGACCGGGTATGCTGAACCTTCGTCCGAAGTCGGCCCTGAAACACGCAGGCATCGCAGCAAGCTGTGGCACTACTGCCTGCAAGTGCCGGCCAGCGCCTTAAACCGTAAACGCTCAAACCCTCAAGCCTCGTAAACCCACCAAAAAAAACTGAAGGAAAGCTCTAGGAGCATAGGTACGGCAGCAGCATTTGCATCAGCGAGGGCGCCGACAGTCTCAGAAACCTCATGAACTTTCGGACGTGCAAACACATATGTATGCATTGCTATATGTGTGTATCATGCATGCATGCATGCATGCATGGATGGATGGATGGATGGATGGAGAGGCTGGACGGAGGGGTTTCTGTGTATCCATGTGGAACTCCTAGTCATGACTATAAGCATGTCCGCGTCGCTGGCATGAGACAGGAACCTAATTTCGCGAGCCTGTGGTTTCATAACCATCCACAGATTCTGAATTCTCGTCGGGGAAGCTGGTCTGCCTTGACACCAATGTCCCCGGCTTGCCGACGCACCATGTAGTGCCTGGGGCTTCTTGTCTGGACCACCCTGTGGTTCAACCCTTAAACCCCGTGTTGTCTCTGCTAAGGTTGGAGGGTCCGCTTGAATCACTCGCGCGACTGAGTTGACGGTTCTTGGTTTTCTCTGTCATTATCTATTTTGTCCTTTGTGTTTCCTCTCGCTCCCTGGATCTGTTCGGGTACATCTACTGCTTGCGTGTGGGTGGTGCGGGCATCAAGGTGACATGCTGTTAACTTAACCAGGACAGCTACTGGCAATGTCTACGGCTGCGGTCCGCTACACGCTCACCAACCCCATAAACACGGCTTCGACGCCATGTATGCTCAATGGGCTCGTTGTCCGGACCGACGGTGTAGTAGTCCTTAGAGCTGCTGAGAATGTGCGCTCTTTCGAGCTACCGGTCCGAGTGCGTTCGAGACTGGAACTGACATCTCATTTCGAAGCTAGGCTCGGCTACTGAGGAGCCTAGGGAACTGCACAAGAACCAAGAGGCATCAATAGCCGCTAGCCGAGGCGCCGTAGTCGACGAGCCGGCTTCTGCAATCGCCTGCTTGTAAAAGTCGGCCACATGGCGTCGCTTGTGAAAATGCCAACCTCAGGAGTGCTGTCAAGCTCGCATGATTTTTAGAATAGGGTCTTGGGAGTTATATCATAGTTATCATAAGGAACCCCCCGAAATAGTATAATAGTAGCCATACCAAGAGAAGCCTTAGCCGGCTTATCAGAATCGTCATGACAACTTGCGTTGCCCTGGCTCTGATTCCTGTCCTCTTGATTGCATCTTAAGATCAATGAAGATTATGATGATCATGATAATTGTGATGACGCTGATAGCTGCAGCTGGTGGTACGAGTAATGATGATGGTGACAGAATGTTTCGTCAACAAGATAACAAGTCTCTTCCCTGCTGTGGGAGCCACACTCCCGGCCCCTGCTTCATTGGACATGGTTGACTTCTTGGTCAAGCAGCACACAGCGGCGTGAGCCGCAAGGAACGAGATCACCATCACGGTCATGATCATCTGCCCTGCTGGCATGCCGCTGGGTTCCTCGCTGGTTACTGCGGGCAACCAGCGTATGCTCGCATCCGCAACGGCCACCACGAAAACGAGCCACAGGTACTTCATGGCGGAGCACGGCGATAAAGGAAATACTGCCCTAAGCTACTTTCTGCACCATTCCGGTGGGCTCTGCTGGGCCACGGCAGATGGCAAATGACAGCACAGCTCGATTCTCTTCAGGCGTCACTCAAACAGAACTGATTCCATGCTCAGCCGGGAAACAGATTGTGATTTCGTGCAACATCCTGAAGCTCGAGCAGTACGCATTTTTGCTCTCTGAATGGTGCAACCATCGCAGGTCTGCAACGTGTGGTGCACGCAGGCGTTACCGCGACCTCGCCAGTCTGATGGGGAGCCTGTCTAAAAAAGAGACTGAAATGAAAGGCAGCATAAATATCAAGCACTCCGCCCTAAGCCTCACTCAACGGTTCATGCGAAGCAGCAAATAGAGCAGAGCAGTGCGTGTATATACATACATATATATATATATATAACACATACCATTGTTTCTGTACGTACGGATTGCTTTTTAGAGATGTTCGACTTCCAAACTCACTGTAGAGGTTGTCGAAGTCTGAGAACCCGGCATGCTGTAACCCAAAAAATCTCGAGTGGTGTGCCTCTAAAGCCCAACAACCCGATCGCCAAGAGCCACATCCAACCAAGATGCAGAAAAGGATCCCGTCCTGGGCCCCTGATCCGTACACCCCAACCCGAGACGCTGACCACGCGCAGCTCACAAATGGTCTTCGAAGATATTGTGACCTGAGGCTCTGGGCCGCGGTTTCTACTCTAACTTAACATGTTTTTGGGAGTTCCCATGATAAAATGCTGCTCATAGACAGGTGTGCGTTAATAGTACAAGAAAACAACATATACCAACGTCGTGGCCATTGCGATTGCGGTTGTCATATGTCCGCTTCCCAAAAGTCAAAATCTGACCCTACTTCATTCGATCTCCTTTGAACTTTGATGTTGCCTTGTCATGCCTATGCCTAATTATGCCACTTAATGCGACTTACGACATCTTCCTGAGAAACCACAGCATGGGCCTGTCTGTATCGGCTGCTTGTCACTCTCCTAGAACTTCCCCACACCCGCGCGCCACTTTTCTTCTCGTTACTCGTAGTTGTACCCGAACTGGTTCGACAAGGCTTCAATGGGTGCGAGCTGGATCTTCCCAGGCGCTGCGAGGACGTCTTCCCAGTAGAACTTTGCTGGTTTGTTGCCCTTCCCGAGCTTCAAGTTGATCAGGTGCGGGTTGTTCCCAGGGAAACCCTTGGCTGCGGGTTTCGGATCGGCCTGGCTTTCGGCCTCCTTCTTGTCGAACTCCTCCGGGCTCACCAGCATCATCCCGATGATTTTGCCGCCGTCAAGCCACAGCTGGAAGCAGAACTGCTTGCCGCCGTGATTCGCAAACGTGCAGACAAGGTACACAACCGGCGGCGGGGTGACACCCATCCATGCTGGCAGAATGTCCGGGTCCAGCGTCTGTTTGAATACACCCTCCTTCACGAAAGTCACGTTGCCGAAGTTCTTGAACTGCTCGTATGATGTCGGCCAGTATGCCATCAAGGCATCGCCGATCTCGCCCTCGAGGTCGTCCTTCTCATTGAAGCACCGCATGAGCTTGTTCTTCGCCTCGGCGAGCAGTTGGTCCTGGATTCCCAGAGTGCTCCACGTCAGTTGGCGGACCGAGCCGATGTAGATCACATGGTCATTGCAGTCACAGTTATCGCACATGTCCCACATGTCTCCTGTGGGCTCCATTGGAACCCAGCCGCAGCCGGGGATCAGGATGTTGGGAAACGTGTGCGCGTTCGTCACATTGTAACGAGAGTCAATACCGTTGGCCGTCATAACCGTGTTGAACATGATTGACCGCTGCACGCAGTGCGCCAGCCCGCTCTCAACGATGTCGTCCAGTGTCCTGCGTGCCGAAGTCTCTGCCGAGTTGTCGTACCGGTGGTTCGATGCGATGTGCTTCCAAGTGCGCTGCGCGAACATCATAATGTTCTCCGCGTCCCTGTGCCACGTAAGGTCCCCTTTTGAGCAGAATTCCTGCCACTTCGCCCCGTGCGGCATGAGCTGGGGCTTGTACTTCTCTTCCAACGGCTGCGTGTCCTCTACAAAGTACTTCTGTGGAGTGGCCTCGTTGTACAATTCCACCCGTCGCGGCACATGCACATATTTGATCTCGATAATGATCGTGCCAGGGCCAACAGCCTTGGCAACGTGTACGTGGTTGTGAGGCGGCTGCACTTCACCGCTTTCCTCCGTCAGATCCAGCATCTCCAACTCGATCTTCTGTCCATCCCGTTCAAGGTAGAAACTGAATATCTCGAACTTCTGGTGGGGCGCCGACGGTTTCGGCCAAACAACAAGGTACTCGTCTTCAGCACCAATTTTGGCATGCCACTTGTTGTGGTGCGGCGTGGCGTTTTGTGTATCAAAGTACACCCCGTACTTAACGCTGAGCGGGTCCTGAATAGGAGTGGATTCCGCCTGGGCGCCTGGGTTGATCCCGATGATTTTACCGTTCACCAACATGAATGCGAGCTTTAGTCTCGAGACGGAGACCACCGTTTCGGTTGTGAGTAAGTAGTTGAACCAGTAGCCCTCGTCACCGCCGGGGAGCGAAATCACCGTGTTGCTTTGGACCCAATACTTCATGGCCTGAAGATACTGGTCTTTCGGGAACGCTGCTTTCACGTTGTCGTCAAACAGATCGTACAAGTTATCCCAACTGCGAGAGTTCATCAGGTCTGCGACATTCTGACGGTCGGCTTCCTTCACCTCGCCATCTGCCTCGCCCTCCACTGTTGGTACATGGGGGATTCCGGAGCTCTTTGCGATCATCTCCATCCAGCGCCGGTGGTTGGCATGAGACTTGAGGGCGTTGCCCATTCCGGGGTCCAGCAGCTTCCCTGCGATACGGATGAACTCGGTGAGGTCGACTTTGCCGTCGCTGTTTGTGTCAACCTCTTTCATGAAGGCGGCCATGTCGGCCGGGGGATCGATGCCGGCGTTCTGCAGCCCCTGCGAAATCTCCGATTCATCTAGGAATCCGCTGTGGTCCTTGTCCAGGGATCTAAAGGCTGCTTCGATCTTGAAGACCTGGCTCTGCTCATCTTCGCGGGAGGCCATCACCAGCTTGTGCTCCTTCACATACTGCGCGTTGCGCTCCACAGCTGCCTTCCTGGGTTCTTGTTCAGGAAGTTTAGTTTAGGCACCTTAAGAGGGATCTTTAGTAAATGATTTGATTTCCTCATCAGGGTAACTTAAATTGAATTGCATCCCATAACATGAACCCAGCTTCAGAGGATCGAAGTTCTGTACCCCTTCCACGGCCGATGGGGCCTGGGTTGTTACAGGAGCGGACTCGGCCTGGTCATTGGGTGCCACATGCGCCTGGGCCACCCCTTCCGACGGTGCCTGGGTCTTGACACTAATACTCATATTAATACTAATATTAATATTAATAAGAGTATTAGTAGTAGTATTAGCATCAGCATCTGCCTCGTCCTGAGTCTGGTGATTGGGCGAAGGCGGTGCAGGCACAACTGCTGCAGAGGATTGCCGCGGCTGCTGCGATGCACCGCACCCCATGGAGTGCACACGACACCGGGAATGCTTCAAGTTCTCTTTGGAACTAACTCGCGCCTCCCCTCTTTAGGAGGCCCGGAAGATGTGAAACCACTGAGATCCAAGATCAAGCTTGATGCCAGAAACTGAGCAGACCTTTCTTGAGACTCTCCCTTGGCTCGCCAGATACTAGGCTTCCCACGGACATGACCATGGGGCAGTGCAGCAAAGCCTGAGCAAGCACAAAGAGGTCACGGCAAGTTTGGGGATCTGTGAGGTCTGACTATTCTCACAATTGGAAGAAGGATCTTTGGATTCCAGGAATCTAGCGCAGTCCAAGGTCTGCACCAGCTCATACAGTATATAGTATATAACATATGCGTTGAAACCAACTTTTGATTATTATGTTTGGAGCGACAAGTCCAAAAGGGTTCAAATGTGTGTCCTATGCATGTCCACCATCTGGAGGCCAACATCCCCATGAAAGGTGTGTCGTGTTGTGCTCCACTCTCGTTACATACGGCGTCGGCGTCTCCGACTCTGAATGCATACAGCTCGTAGCAGACCTCCCACCTTTGTGGTATTTCGGCACTTAGAACAGAGGCCTCGTTCTGGTGGGAATGGATAAGGCTATATAATGGAAGACAATTATTTCACAGCTGTGTAGTGCAGTCATCGTCCCGTCATCGCATTTTTTGAACCAATCTCCTGCACCTCAGCAAGGCTCTCGGAGTTGGCTCAAGGAGTGGCTTCTTGAAATGGTTGCAATGGCTGGCACATAGCACAAAATCGAGCACCTGAATCATTAGTACCACGGAACACACCCTGTGCTGCAGAACTTTTCTCCTTTGCAACCGCTAATACATCCGTGTCTCTTAAGGTGTGAAACCAAAACCTGAAACCTTGAACGCGCCATTGGATCGCTCGCTAGGCGACGTGGGTGCCATTTCTGGCAAGGCCACTTTTCCTGAGAGTTTGCGGAATCAGAAGCCTGGATCACAGGTTATACTCGATGATAAACGGGGCTGATTGAATGCAATCGGGTACAATGGCAACAACTCGACTGGGTCTTGCAGTTCTAGCTTGTATACGGCACTACTCTCAGCATAGCCCAGGCTGGGCTAAACAAGAATCAGCTGGCGAGCTGAGTCTCTTCAATCTGCTCCATGCAGATGCGGCTGATGGCCGAAGCAATGGAGCAATGGCTAAATGCTCGTCGTGATTACCCATGACCCTCTTGACTATTTTGGTACATGTAACAACATTCATGCGCATGGTGGCCTAGCACTCTTCTGCATACAAGGAGACTGAAGAACGATGGGAAAGATCAGAATCAATAGGGGCCTCGGCCGGCATTTTTGCCCTTGTCCCCGAAGCCCTTGCCGCAGCCTTTGCCGCAACCCATCGGGCCAGGTCCGCCCATGCAGCCGCCCATAGGGCCATTCATCGGGCCGCCCATGCAACCACCCATCGGGCCGCCCATGGGCCCACCCATGCATGGACCGCCCATAGGGCCTCCCATGCAACCTGGACAGCCCATGGGACCTGGACCCATGCCACCGCCCATGCCTAGGCCTCCGTCACCACCTGGGGGTGCTTGCTCGAGGTCCTGGCGCGGGCGAGACGAGTGACTGCATGAATGAGTTGGAGCAAGCGGTGAAAGTGCTAAACGGGTCCTTGGCTTGGAGCTTTCCGTTTCGGAGCACGGCCATGAACGCCACGAAATCGCCTTCCCTGAATTCCCCCTTGTGCCTCTGATGCAGGAAGACCTTGGAAGGGCATGCCATGCTGCTCGAAATTGACCCGTCCGGGCTTCGCTCGGATGAAGGCTTTTGTTTGCACTCTCATGTTGCTTTTGTCGGTTAGGCTCTGCATCGCAGTGCCCTGTAACCTCGTCTTGCAACTGCCAATTCGAAAATATCCATGCCCAGCGACATCGCCCTGGAAGCCCTGCATGTTCAGTGCTTCACAGACAATGAAGCCGAAGCCTTTGTCCTGCCATGGACGTCTTGAAGTTTCGGTTCAGGCTATCCGGGCCTGAGCACATGTAGTACTACGCCATACGGAATAGTAAAGGAAGCAACAGCGCGTGGCTTCGAGCCGTTGCAGCCACTCCTATCCCAAAGAGAGCTATACGGCGCACATCCACCCCGGAACGTGAAGAATCTGTTGTCATGAAATGTGCTCGCAGGCCGAGTGGAAATATCAATGCAAGACGAAAGGGGTTGAAATCTCTACAGCCATCTACAGTCCATAGCATGACCTAATACACTGCCGAGTCACAGTACCTTTGCAAGAAGCTTTGAGCATGCCGAAGTGATGACTCGAAAACAACGCAGGGTGCGTGCAGTTCAAGCCACCACAGCCAGATGAGGCCCCCGGTGCGATTGTATGTACTAGGGTTTAGAGTTTAGAAGTTTAGGGTTTAGGTCCTGGGTGTATGAATGCATGTTTATGTATGCATGTAAGTACGAAGTACATTTATATAGTAGGTATGCACATATGTACGTAGACATGTACGTAGGTCTGCCTGAAACTCATATGTGTGTGTGTGTGTGCGTACTTAAGAATGAATGTGTAAATGCGTACACTTCTGCATCTGTATCTATATATCTGTCTGAATTCTGTGCATGTATGCATATATATATATATACACATACACGACTGCACACAAATACATAAACAAATAAATGAACAAATTATTGAATAAATAACTGTATACATATATACGTGTGTGTGTGTGCATGTATGTATGTATGCACATATGTTCACAGATACATGCGCATGCACTCGTATGTGACGCCGGAACTGGACATCGCAGTGTTTGCAGCCATGTCTTGACCGTCGCCTGATGGAAATTCTTGATTCTCCCGGTGAAGACACCGAGCTCCTGGCGCAAATTCGGCAAGCTTTTTTCAAGCCAGCGGAGCAGTCGAGAGCAATACTGATTCGCATGCAGATATTCAGGAATAAAATTATACAGGAATTAAAACAGGTCAGTGTTGTATGCTACACTCCCCACTCCTGCTTGTCTATAGCGAAACATACGCTCAGTCTTGTCGCGCAGACATCGGAAAGGTAGCATTTACGCATGCCTAAAGGAATGCAGGCAGACGTAGGCCGCCCGGGCCCAAATTGTAGTCGTAGTTTCGTGGCCCCGAGCGCGAAAACAACAACAATCCCAAACCCGCCGGCTGATCCCAAGCCTCAGCTCAACGCTCTCAACGCGCCTTGTGAGACTACGCAACCTTTCGTCCCGGCAAACTGGGCTACAAAGCACAGAGGTCCAAATAATGAAAACTAAGCTGCAGGGTCTCTGTACCTTTCGCTATAATACAAGGAATATACTGCACGAATTCTCCTGACCTGCAGCATATCATAACACTTCTGGGCGCCTGCTCTTCTGCAAAGCCAGGTGCTGCACCACTTTGTGGGCCCACAAGCCCCGTGGCATCCTTGCAAGGTCTAGGGACTATTGACGGGTTGAGCTTCGTGGTGTGAATGTCAGCTGGGTCTTATACTAATATGTAGTCTTGCAAAAAGGTGCCCGAAGTATGCGATACCGTCAGGCCGGTAGTTGGTCTGATTTCAGGTTTGGCATCGTTGGGTCTTTCGAAGCTTGATCTGACTGAGCAAGGGCAGTGCCGGGTCTTTCGATTCTTGGGGCTGGGCGCTTTATGCTGCAGCCAAATCCCAAGCGACTGACACAGCATGCTGGAGGAAAAGGAGGAGATTTCATTCCGATTAACTTGCGGGAGTAAGGTTACCAATAGATCATGACAGCGAAATACTCAAAACCCCGTAACATCAAATCGACGGCTTGTGGACAGACATGAAAGTTGAGACCCTCGTTTAGAAGCCGAAATAGTAAGGATCCTGGAAGGCACCCTGGCAAAGGGACCCTCGTCTTCTGAAATGCCCACATGTCATCAGTGTGCAGCTACGGCACCTGGAGCTCCCTACCTGCCATGAGACTGTGATTTGGGGGTTATAGGGCTTATAGGGCTATAGGGGTCAGGGTGACTAAGCCTATGCCCACAAATCCCTGAATCTGATGTTCAGGTGCGAGCTGATGCTGCTGAGTCGGTAAGAGCTCGGGCTTCAATTAAGATTCAGAGTAGCCTGATGAAGAGCAGGAGAGGAATCAGAGGTAAACCGTAAGCGCATGTCGACATGCAGTCTGCAGGGTGCTGTTCTCTGGCAAGCTATCGCAGCTAGCTGTCGGTCCTGATTTGCCGCAAGCTGCCGGGGAAAATGTGCATGAGTCTCAGTGGGGTGTGCGTTCGTCTTGCTTGCTGTCGTTGCCCGGGGTTCACTTAAAAACCACCACGCAGCAAGCAAATGTGGAACGTTTGTTCCCATCCATGCCTTGCAGCCGGCCGTTATGGAGGAAGGCTTGAAACCTTGGCTCGGGATGTCGGCCTAAACCCTTGATTGAAGCCTTATATAAAACGTATAATCAATCCAGAATGCCGTGGCCCATGTCTACAGTCCATCTAGGACATCTTCCCACATCTGGGCCGGGCGGCAAAAAACAAAAGTAGCGGGTCTAGGAAATCCCGAATAATTACTAACGGTCATGATGTAGGAGCCTGAAAAAGCCTTACGAATTATAACGGAGTTTTTGAGCGAACTTATACTACACTTGTACTAGTGACTGCAAGGCGCATCTCGTATTAATTGTTCCAAAATGTTCCGAACCGTATGTTAATACTTTGCTCCCCGACATCTCTGGATCACAGGTGGCATGGTCCCTACAGGGGTCTGTGCCATCGGAAACGCCTCTTACCTAGTGCCAACCCGTAACTCCCAAGACTTTTCTTCGACGAAGACATCTGAGATATACTCCGCAATCAGATCATCCCACCCCATACCCTGCCTTCCACTCCAGAACTCAACAAACAATGGAGCGTAGGACCCTGTGCCCTTCGTCTCCTGAAACCCAGAGTTACGTGCGTGAAGAGGAACTTCACCTCCTGGCCGACCTTGAACTCGCCCACATGCCTGATATCGTCTCAGGGCTCTCCCTCCACTCCAAAGCTGCTCTTTCATCATGAGCTCTTATCGCCTACAAACACGATTACTATTCCGACTATTCCGGTACGAACAGCAATGCCAGCATAGCAGCAACAGCGGACAGATACAATGCTGCAATCACTGCAATCAATGGCGGTGCTGCAATCACCACCTCCCTCGCCCAGCACGATGACTAGCTGCAACTCAAAAAGAACAGCAGTAATGTAAAGAGTGCCAAGAACGATAATCAGCCCTAGCGTGTAATCACCGTACCCTCAGCATGACAAACAGCAGCAGGTATGCGAAACAGCAGGAGGAGCCAAGCGCACACATGTGGATGTGTAGAAGCGTGTAAGTTCATGGACAACATCGCACAACCCTCTGCGATGAAACTCTATCGGTGTATGTTAACAGGTACATACAAAAGAACATCCATCGAGCCTGCTGTTCAGATAGACATCGCCTTCGTGCTGCTGCTTCAACGCATCGCAGGCAATGAAGCCGAAGCCTCCAATGGAGTATCCCAAACTGTGCGTGCATGTGAAAGGCACTCCGAGCTCGAGCCCTTGGGGGGGGGGGGGGTGGTTAATTGCTACCAGCTACTCCAGCACTTGCCACACAAAGCGAGCACATGTGCAGGCCCTGTCGAGCCTTTCTCGGGGTTGTAGCTCTTGATGATCCCATAGAACTCTCCTAGGACCTGGGATGGCAAGACAACCATGGGGGAGAAGACACGCGCTGTACATGCGGTGGCCTGCAGATTTTCTTTGGGACCCGGATGTAAGTAGTGAATACTCATGCGCTAGGCCCGGCCAGAAGCCCTGCTGTCCCATGTACGTCAGACGACTCTCGCAATGCCAGCCTCTGCTATTGTCAACAGGACCACTTTGTCATAGGATCCAGATTTCAAATCTCACTCAGGTGCCAGTCCCGCCGTTGCTGGGCCCGGGACCTCCTCATTGGCTTTTCCACCGCCTTTCGGACCGGGACCTCCCATCATGCCACCCATCGGCCCATTCCTCGGACAGCCGCGCGAAACACCGAAATGGGTGGCTGTGCGGTGCACCTGATCACTGATAACGTAATCATCGACATATGCGCGTATCGGCCGGCAATTTCAGGACGCAAACAGCTGAGGCGGCATCATACCCATCATGTCGCCACTCATGCCGTCGCAACCACAGCCTCCGCAGCCGCAGCCACAACCACCACAGCCACAGCCACCACAGCCGCAGCCCCCCATGCCACATCCCCCGCCGCAGCCGCAGCCGCAGCCTCCGCAGCCACAACCGCAGCCCCCGCCACAGCCACAGCCGCCACAGCCGCCCATGCCACAGCCCATCCCACAACCGGGACCCATGTCCCCCATGGAAGGCATCCCTCCGCAGCCCATGCACCCGATTTGGCCGTTCATCCCCGTCTTGTTGTCTGCCAAGTCAAAGGCCTGAGGCTTGTTCTCATCGTTCAAAGTCACGGCGAAGTTTACCTCCTGTCCTTCAGCGGCAGGCTGCGTCCAACAAGCCCACAGATGTACATGCCAGCTTTAAACGTGTCATTGCACGCTGCTTTCAGGTGGATGTGGCATATGACGGTGTCTGTTCGCGGGAAGCTTCTCATGCTTACATGCACCACAGGCCTAGACAGGGGCACGGACAGTTTCAGGCCGTGGTCGCGGTCAGGTCGCCGTATGCACGGGCAGCGAGAGAGAGAGGGAGACAAGAGAGACAGAGAGAGAGAGAGAGGGAGAGAGCAGAGAAGAGAGAGAGAGAGAGAGAGCAGAGAAAGAGAGAGAGGGAGAGAGAGAGAGAGAGCGATATATATATATATATATGTGTGTGTGTGCGCGCGTGTGTGTTTGTATGTATGTGTCTCTAAACCTATCTATCCGTCTATCCATCTAGCTTCCTATCTTTATGCATACATAACTTCATACATGCACACATACCTACATGCACACATATCCATGTATACATGTGTTTGTGTATACCTCATAACGTATGCATTCTACACCTGCGTGCTCTGGCTTGCAGGTTGAGGTTGGCCCCACCTTCGACGAAGCCCCCAAGCTGAAGTGCTTTGACTGTCACGTCGCAGCCAAAGACCTTCATATCAGAGGCGCTTCAGGTTTTGGTGCATAGGGCGAGTGTCATAAACGCTATATGACAATACATTGAAAAGCAACCCTCAAATAGGCTAACGGACAAAATTGAACATGCGCTGTTGTCGCACCATGTCGCACCTACACCTTGAAGTTTCGGATTGGATTCACATTCGTGCGGAAGTCTGTCTTTCGCTGGTTCGACACCAACGTTTTGCAGGTTAACCGAGATGACTGCATCCCAGCTTTACATCGTGCACCATGTAATTCGGCAACTAACCACGCTGCAACGATGCCAAGACAACTACACGTGACGAGGATAAACACAGCTCGCAATCGCTTGGGTTACGGTATTTGACGGTCGCTCCGGGTTTTGGAGCATCAGAGATTCGGGCTGAAGGCTACAGTCCAAGGAGCTGCGCTTAGCTCGGGGCAGTTGATGAAGCCCACACCCATCGCCTTATCATTTCAGGACGCCGAGTTCGATGACGATGGCGTGTGCATAAACCACCGCTGAACGTGTATGAATGAGGTGTACCGAGGCCCGTGCTGGGTTCAGCTTCGCTACGGTGCCTATGCAGCGCTTCTCCGTCAAGGCCTTGCTAGGAGCGAAGGTCAAGTCCGGAACGCAGACCTGCGATTGAAGCTGGAGAAAGCGGAGTCGAGATTGCTACAACTTAGGATTCTGGATTTCGGTATTCAAGTCTAGCTTGAACAGCCCATGCCTGCAAGAGCCAATTTCGTGATATAGGGGCCTTTATGATTAGAATAGGGTTTCGGAGCCCATTATACCATACTTATAACAAGGAGCCCCCCCCCCAAAAAAAAAAATAGTATTGGCAACTATTTCGGTCCCTGTATTATGTGCCGCCCAGCGGCATTGACCAAGCCGGGGGCCAGCTCAGGCTTGCTCTGCATGAGCTGAGCCAAAACTGTCGCCAGAATGCTATCCTTTGCTGCCCAGGCTTTCCCAAAGAGGCCTATGTACTGTTATCGGGGACACTTCCCTAAATCATAATAGTATCATTATAATTCCTAACATAGGGTTTCTCCCTACATTCTACTATATAGGTACATGGGAGCCTTTGGGTGTGTCAACAGTCTTCATGCATCTGGAGTGTAGGGACAGCGGTTCTGCAAGAGCCCCATCACCCTCTGCTGGTGCCATAGCTTCCATGCGCTCTCATGCCTTCCGTCACGGCCGCCGACATCCCTAATCTGTGTTCCGATCGGTTCGCTCAGAGCCCTAATACCTAGAATCTTTTAGACGACGTTCGATATGGAGCCAGGTTTGGGGGTATGTCCTCTGACAAATTATGTAGGGACTGTACTAAGGGATAGTCCTGCAGTCACTCCAACCCCTCTTTAGCAGTGCATGCCCTGAGCCCTAAACCCCAAAACCCTATCCCCCCCCCCAATCTTTAACAGCCATGAACAGTTTACCCAATATGTATTTCCATTTTTCCCCAATATGTCTAGTGCCCCTCTTTAAGAGCCATGCGGCATCGATGCCGGTCAGGGTGTTGAGGATGATGCTCGGGTCCATGGCTCGGAACCACGCGGACCGGGGGCCCGCAAGGGCCCCTCTGGGCCAAACGCTGCAAGCACCGCCGCTGGGCTTCGAGTCTACGGTTTATCCATTCATAGATGGATCGATAGGTCTAGAGATGGATCGATAGGCAGACAGATAAATAGGTCGATAGATAGATAGAATAGGTAGACGGATAGGCAGATAGATACGTAGAAAGATAGATACATAGATAGAAGGAAGAAAACAGATATGTCCTTTCATCTACATAGACATATATATATATACACACACATACCCATGTACTACAGAGTATAGGGAACATCAAACAAACAAAACCCCGACCACTTCCGAAACTGGGTCCCGCACTTCAAGAGCCAGGCTGGAGCTTGCCATGGGCGGGGGTTGAAGGGGATTTTAGGATTCCTTAAACCCCAAACCATAAACCCTAAGCCTTAAAGCCCTTTTGAAACCGGACTTGATGACTGCCAGCACTGCCTCTAAATCCTAAACCCCAAACCCTGGGGATCTGAGGATTTCGGGGCTGACATCTTGACGATGTGGATCGTGGTCTGAAAGGTGAAACTACTGCTTCATGCTCTCGCACTCGGACTCGCCAGATAAAGTTTGAGGGAAGTTTCTTAGGATTTGGAAAGACACAAATCCTCAGGCGCTGAACGGCGCATCGAGGCTTTGCTTTGCCAGCTGAGCTGAGGAAGACCCCAGAGACTCCAATATCCCTGAACACACCTTAAGTCATATAAGGGATCCTACTATAATTTTTGGAATATTCCTGAATTAAGGGATATTGGAGTCTCTGAGACCAAGGTCCAGCTTGTGGCGACGCGAGTCGTCTGTCGCGATGTGGGAGTTTCCGAAATAGGGGATCCTAATAATTATAGCACCCTGAACAGTAGGATCCTTATTATAAGGACCCCAAAATGAGGTGCCCCTAGGATTCGGAAACTCCCTGTGCTGGGTTCGGAACTGCAGAGAGTTCTCACAGAAGGATGCCCTTGGCCCTAGCAGCGATACGTTCTGTCAGCAGCATTTTTTGACGTCCATGCTTGTTATGTCTCTAAGCATATGTCCCCCTTACAGGGACAGTCGCGGAGCTTGGGAGCTAGTGGAAAAGCGCTGGTTCACAGCAAGGTGGTCTTCACTTTCGCAGTGATTTGAATGGGCCTTTGTGCTGCCAAATCCGCAGAGCCCAGCGATGAAAGTCAGCGATTCTTGTGGTATCTACTCTGCGTCGTGACTAAATGCCGTCTTCGCATTTCTGGCTACAAGAGGTATTCTATTCGTGTCCAACCTTCCATCACCGGCGATCATGGAGCTACAAGCCTTTGCTGCAGCCTCCTTTGCGTCCTCGTCTTCCTCAGTGCTCACATCATCTCGCGCTTGCCATCTTGATGTGGGATTCCTGTCTTCGACTCATCGAGACCTTGGAAGTCGATTGAAACCGTTCTCAGATGTGTAAGGCTAGGCGGCACACTCTTTTCCCACGATTATGTATGTTATGGGCTTTAAGCACGTTGAATTGTAAATTGTTCTCTGTGGAGCCATCATGGAGAACCGGACTAAGACTAAGAAGAGACTACTCCCCAATCCCAACACGATCCCAAAGCTGGGACGGTAGGACCCACTCGGTGCCCTCGCCTCGACCGGACCTGCTTGACGTGTCTCGGGGGCTCCAGGAATACACTCGTGCACGGATCTTTCTACATGACACAGCATGGAACACAAACACTCTTGTGAATGGTGTCGCCTTGACCTCAAAGGCACGATTGCACGTGCTCTGCAACGAAGCTTCAATTGAGAGGCAGCCCAAGGGGCCAGTTCATTGAGGATCCTCAATCAGGTCACGGATGTCCACGCCACACTGCAGTATAAAACCCCCGTCGGCAATGCTCTTCTCACCCTCATGCTGCACAACCTCGGCTTCGGGAATCAAGTGTGGGCAACAGCTTTCAGCTGACCGCTATTGTAGCAGCAGACATCTGAAAGACTCCACGTCCTACTGGGGCTCGTGCGGCCAGCCAACTACACGATGGATGCTAGATGTGCAGATGACTGGGTCACCCGGGATGGTGGAGATCCCAAAGCCAGGATGTCATGCCGGTTTGTTCCCGGCACGAAGCTGAAAGTACAAACCATACTCAAAAACAAGCACAGACTAAACTTGCTACTGGAGGCCAGTAGAACGCCTTGGACCTTACATCGACGCGACAAGCCTGTGAGTTTCTCGAGAAGCGGGACCCCTTGCACAGTCACAGTAGCCTGCTGGTCCCAGAATTCGGCCTGGGACCTGTTGATCCGCAGCATGACCTTGGCCCACAGTATACAGCCCACCGGGTTTGTTCGATTTGTGCAGTTTGAAGCCTTACGTGCGACCTCATTCCCCGAGTAAGCCGGACAGTTCACAGGTTATGGCCTGCAGGAAGTGGAAAACAGGACTTGAGGGTTGCGTGCTTAAAGTTCCGATTGAAGGTTCAAGTCAATTGCTCCGAAACTCTTAACATTTCGCGGTATCAGGAAGCGGGGAAAGAAGGGTGCAAAAAGATCAGTTCCAGCCCAATCGTCTTGAAGTCTTTGCCGGGGTGCGCACATCTATAACTGGGATTTCAATTAGATAAAATAGAAAACTACATCCAAAGTCAGAACAGTGAGGCGATGTACGGCAACAGTTGCCGTGCAAGTACTCGGGCTGACCATGGTTTCTGAGAGTCGATTTTTCTTGCTCAAGATGCAGCCAACTGTTGGGCCAACAGCTACCTGGACCCCCAAAGCATGTAAAAGACTGACACATGAGGGAACACATAACATTTGTGATGCAAGCTTCGCCCGCTCGCTCGACAAGTTTGTTAATCTTCGACGAACATACAGTTCACTTCTCGAAAACGGCCGAGACACGGTGTTGATCGCGGCCTGAAGCTCCTTCTGCTTCGCTTCAAACTCCGGCTTGCCGGCCTCTGAAGCTTTCGGTAGAAGACGGGAAGAACAAACTCAAATCATGTAATTATGTAATTTGTGATCGTGGGTGCTGTTGTTCCTAGCTGCCAGCACCAATGCATTGGTACAGGGCCAAGATCAAGTGCCGTTCCTACTGGCGGTGGCGTCGAAGAAGCAGCTGTGGTAGGAGGGGGATAAGGAGCAGGAAGAGGGAGGAGGGAGGAGGAGGAGCAGAAGCAGCACTGGCACTAGCAGAGCAGGAAGAACATAGGAGCACCTGCTGTTTCCTACTGCACCACCTTGCTTTTGCCGGCCTTGAGGCCTTCTGTCTCCAGCCACTTCTGCGCATCCGTGAGCTTGCCTTCCTTGGTTTCGCATAGGAATGCCATCGGCTTTTTAACGCGACACTTTAGCTGGTACCCTTTCATGAACACGTGGCAATGCACAGAGCTAACATAGAAACGGTCGGAGGCTGTTAGCTTGCCCTCTTCTGCAAGGCTCAAGCCGCTCACGATCTTTCGGCAGCAGCTTGGACTCATCCAGGTCCTCAAGCAAAAAACGGATTTGGGGGTTGAGTCTCCATCACATTAACCTGCACGTCGCTACACAGAAGGGTGAACCGAAACTCGTCCGCTCGTCCTGGAAGCCCTTCTCGAAGCGTTGCATGTAGACCTTTCATGGGGAACCCAGGGCAGCGGCCCTTAAGGACGCCCGTTGCGCTGAACAGAAGTATAATATAGTAGAACTTAATATACCATAACATAACAAACTATGGTTTGATATGCTATAATAAAATATACTATAATGTAACATACTATAATAGAATATAGTGTAATATAATATAGTATAAGAAGGGAAACTGCATGCAGAAGTATTGGCGGATGAATCGGCGGGGCAAAGGTGCGCTAGCGGTGACAACGATAATGAGATGCTAATGCAGGAGTGTAGCCGCAGCAGCTGTAGCAGCAGCAGTGGCGGTAGTGGTAGCGGTAGCGGTAGCAGTATTGCAGTAGCAGCAGCAGCTTTGGCAGTAGTACTAGTACTAGTACTAGTACTACCAGTAGTAGTCGTCGTCATCGTGGTGGTAGCAGCAGCAGTGGTCGTAGCCACGGCCGTCGCAGTACTAGTAGTAGTTGCTGTTGATGTTGGTGTTGCTGTTGTTGTTGTTGGTGTTGTTGCTGCTGGTGTTGTCGTTGCTGCTGCCGGCGCCGTTGGGACTGAAAGGCTGGCTGCAACGAGCTCGTCTTGAACAGATCGATGTGTCGTCACGTGCCATCACATGGAGGACAGGAAGGGGTACAAGGTCCTGCAAGGTATGGACCTATGCCACGCAGAGCCGGTCCTTCAACTCCTCCTTTGCCAAGAGGTCGCTGCGAGAAATCCTGAGGTTGGTCTCAGGCATGCCACTCATCATCAGCATCGTAACCGTCTTCATTATCAGCAGCATCATCTTAACAGCCGTCTGCTCGCCACACCCTTACCCACATCTTGTGCATCGCAGCCATCATCAGGAAACACCATCAGAATCATCAAATTCGTAATCGTCGTAACCGCCTTCATTCATTGCTCCCCCTGTCACAGAGCTACTGTTCTACACGCCTCCTCCTCCTCCTCTTCCTCCCGCTCTCTAGCTTGCTTGTACGCAGCCAGGAGCAAGTCAGGTCGAGACCTACCTACTCCGCGCCCGTGGGCGCACTGGTTACCCTGTTGGTAACAGCTGTGCTTGATACGGCCCGGTCTCTCTGTCTCTCTCTCTCTCTCTCTCTGCCCCTCCCCCTGCCCCTTTCTGCAGGTGTACATGGGGTGTAGATATATCTTACACATATACATAACTACTCAATACTATGTATCTATGTATATCTGAATGTATGTATATAAGTCTGTGGAAAAGAGATGTGCGCAATCAACATCAGCATTCGCATCATCGTTATCGCACCAGGACTTTCCTCAACATGACCATCACCATGAGCCTTATCATCACTGAGTCATCGCCGTCATCGTGCTGGTAGTGGTCGTCATCGCAAGCAAACTTAGCAGGCAGCAGAAGCAGTAGTAGCAGTCGTCGCCGGAGCAAGCGTAGAAGTAGGAGTGAGCACGAGAAAAAGTAGGAGTGGGAGTTGTCGTAGCAGTTGCGGTAGCATAGTAGACGTAGGAGTAGCAGTAGGAGTAGGGGAGTAGGAGTGGGGGCATCAGGAGGTGCAGTAGTATAATATATAATTAGCAGCAGCAGCAGCACTAGCAGGAGGACGAGACGGAGGAGCAGGAGAAGAAGCAGTGTGTAGTAGTGCATGGTAGTTGTACTCACGTCCGTGAGGCTAGTAAGGCTTCAGTAGCGTTTGTAATAGGAGGAGGAGGAGGAGGAGGAGGATGAGGAGGAGGAGGAGGAGCAGCAGCAGCAGCAGCAGCAGCGTTTCAGTAGCAGGAGCTCCAGCAGAAGCAGCAAAGTAGTTGATAGAGAGGAGCAGCAGAGCATAGCAGAGCTACCACCTGCAATCGTGCGAATCGTACGTGGCAGGATCGGCGGCGCCGAAGCAGCCAAGAATCTCATCCTCGCCTTTGTGCTGCTCCGCCTCTACGAGCATCCTCCCAGCTTCAACTTCGGACATGTGACATCAACCCGCAGCCCCTGCATGTGTGTCTATCCGGCACCAGGGCAGCCTCTGTATGTCATTCTGTGTGAGACGGCCCTTCTCGTTCGCGATCTGGATCTCGCCTGACGGTTATCCGGCTCGCTCTGGATGGACGAGGGAGCAGTTGACAATGATTAACAATCATGCGGTTTAGCGAGAAACAGGGCTGTCACGCCCGGACTCCTTTTGAACTGCTTCCCATGTTGAGGCCAGCGGCTCTTCTTGTGGGACTTCGCATCCTCGGCGCTGACCTGAACACAAACTCCGACAAGATCCACTTCAAGCCCCCCCTGCATCAGGAATACCATCGTCCGAGTCTTGACTGTTGACCTTCCCCGGTCCGCCAAGCCTGGAGAATGCCGTTGGTATCAATTGTGAACGTCACTTGGATCTTTGGGACTCCACGCAAGGACTTCGGGATATCCTGCCAGATCGGCAGTTCCTCATACCCGGAGGCCCCAAAGTAGTTCCTTTTTGGGGATTACCTTCTATTATAGGATTCTAAATATGAACCCCAAAAAGGAACTACTTTGGGGCCTTAGGGTAACCTGTGAAACCAAACATCAGCTTCATAGTGGCACTCGAAGATGCTCCAAGACAAGCCGAAACTCATGGCAGCTTAACATGGGAGTTTCAGACAATAGGGGACCCTAATATAGCACCCTGAATAGTAGGATCCTTATTGTAAGGACACCAAAATAAGGTACCCCTAATATTCTGAAACTCCCACATTGCAATTGTGCTTGAGTCTGCTAGGCAGCCGAGACATTCTTCAAGACTCAGAGGGTCGGATTCCAGGAATCCCTTGTTCCCGAGTCTGTCATTCTCCAAGCTGGTGATACAGAAACTCTGCATTTTTTGCGTGACCATCAGTATGCAAGCCCATCTGGTCCTTCAGCGTGAATTTCCCGAGGAAGTTGTTGTCCTTCACCATGGCGCGTTCTCCTTCGTAGACGGAGATGTCAACATGGTCCTGGACGGAATTTTGCACATAAAAAAAGGTTGAAGCCCTTGACGCGAACCATCGAGGATCGAGTCTGATCGTGGGCCCTACATGCAAACAGTTCAATTCATGCAAACCGTAATGAGGAGCTTGCAAAAGAAATCCGGAATATGGGCTTTGTGACGAGTTTAAGCTAATGAGTTGTGGCAGATCTACTACATTCTCCAGTCCCTGGCCCTACTAGAAACTGTAAACCCTGCCCCCTCAAATGAAGCTAGCGCCAGGCAACACGTGGCTCCACGTGGGGTTTTGCCGGGACGCGATAGCCACGCTTCCCACGTGCTGGTATAGATGGATGAAAAAAGCAGGGGATTCTCAATGACTAAATACTCAGGCCTGATAATCCTCGAATGTTGTGAAGTCTTGGCTCTTGCTCGTGGGCACCGTGCTGTTCCTCTCGATCAGCACCTGGCAAGAAAAGCATTTTTTGCTTCCAAAGATCTGAACAGCTTAGGATGTGAAGTCGCAGAAGTGCCTGCATCATGCCTCCTGCCGTTTCGATGCCAAGAGATAAAGGGGCCACGTCCAGTAAGAGCCTGAGCTGGGCATCAGAAGTCAAAATCGTATTCCAGACTCAGAGTAAACTAGTCTCGGAAGTAGGCATAGGATAGCATGAGCAAGGCGGGTGTCACTACATGAGAGGCCATCTTTGAATTTCCTTGGGACTCATGCACAGCTTCGGTAATTCCGAATCTGACGACGGATTCCCAACTTCATCTGCAGTGGGCCCAGCAACATGTTCTGCACATCCTCGTGCCCCTGGCCAGAGACAATGGCCGCTTGCACTGCTGCCCCATAAGCCACTGCCTCCAACAGATTTTGCATGTAGTGCACACGAAAGTAGTCATAGTCCATAGTGTCACGAGGTGAAACATCCCGGCCCGCATCCTTGCACGTAGCACGCCTCATCTGGGTTGATGCTTTTGCAGAGCTCCTTTCCACCAAAGTGTCCTGCGCGTTCAAATTCTCAGGGCAGCGTGACAGAAAGTGTCACCGACAAACTCGGCAGCCGATAGAAGCACTGGGTGAGGCACTCACGATCGCAGCTGCATTTCGTAACTGGTACTCGAACAAGCTAGCCAGCGAGGACACAATCACATCGTCGCAACTTGCAAACTGCCGGCTGGATAGCTGAACCGCGATATGTCATGCTCTTTCAACATCATTAGTCAGACGCTCATGTTACATTGAAGAGGCAGTTAGCAGTCACATCGGAGTGAGTCGCTGCCACGGCCAGGCGAACAACATCCAAGCTATCACAGAAACGGAGAGTGACAATTGACAACGGTTTCAAGTTTCAATCTACCGCCTGCCCAAGCTGTGCTGGCCATCCTCTAGCCATTCCGGGGAATTCTGCGGGCCCTTGCAAGGGTCAACCAGCCGACTTTGTGTTTGTTTTACGCTTATCTGCCTTCTGCCTCCGCGAGCCGGCTGACCCTTGGGATTTGCAGGGTTTTTTAACTCCATCTGCAGAAGAGCCCGCCCTGGAGTAAGAGAAGGGGAGGAGACCAGGGGACCGGATATTTCCGGACCCGGTATCCCCACATCACCAGCGGCGAATCCTTCATGGTTAACTACTCTCGAAAGACTCGCCGGGGCGAACGGGACTCCCCAAGCAAAGCTCACCACTTCAAGACTGCAGCTTCGACGCTCGTTATTATAAGGCTTGAATCATCTTCACTCTCGGGTCTCGAAACCCACTTAAGCTCCGGTAGGGGAATCACCACTCCCCCTCGGAAGAACTTCTCTTCTCGACGCGAAAGGCCTTGCCTTCAGCCGAGGCCGACACTGAATTTCGACGCCTAGGTTTGCACTGCAGTCGGCTACAAGATGCTGAGGGAAGGAGCCTCGGTGTTGACAAAATGATATGTAGCTTTGCTTTGTGTAGGACTATTGCACTTCGATCGTGTAATGTACCTGGAGAAATCCATGTTCCGACAGGTTAAGGCCCCATGTTTGACATGGGGTAGTAAAGTAGTGGATGTCTTCTTTTTAAAGGCCCTATCACAACGTCCAGTGTCGCCGCAAACTGGTAGATCACGCCGATGAAAGGTAACAGCGGTACCAGTTGTTCACGGCTTTGAAGGAGTGGAATGCCACAGCGCCCTTGTTGCCACAGTCGACACCCCAGCAACGCTCATCGCGCAGGAAGTTGTTGTAGTCTTGGAGAGCCTGAACTCCCAGCATTTCCAGGCAACCGGCCATGTACTTGTCTTCGCCCCAGGACCAAAACGGCAAGCTCTGCTCACAGCGCCCATGGTTCGCAAGGTACCTTCCAAGGGCCTGCTTGGAAAACACCTCCAGCGCCCCATACAGTGCTGGTCTGTACTTGCCGCAGGTGAGGAAGAAGACTGGGGCACCAACGTGCCACGACATGTGTGGCCGGAGCCGCTCTGGAAAAAGGATTGCATCAGGGTCCACCTTCGCGATGAAGTCGTAGTGCCACCAGTCGTTGTTGTTCAACAACGTTAGCCACGTTCTCATGAACACTTGGGAGTTGGCGGCGGTGTTATCGACGGAAACTCCTGAAGCCGTCGAGCCGATGGGGATGGTCTTCACGCCGTAGATGTCCGTGTCCACATCACTGTAGATCCCGAAGCCGTCACAGGCGAAGATACCAGATCCACTCTGACGTTGCAAGTGCATGATGTCCATCTCCCCTCCAGCACGAGCCACGGAGAAGCAATAGATCGATGGCGATCCCTTCGGAGGTGCCGCCGGGAGTGGATATGCCTCTTCGTGACAAGGCCGTGGACAATCAGACTGGTTCCTCTCGTGCAGGTACTGCTGGATGACCGTGCGGTTGGAGGCCCTCGAAACACCCTTGGGGTAGTTCCAGGGGTTCTCAACGGTTCCGATCCACTTGTGCCACAAGACGGCACCGTAACATGTTTCGCCAGCACGTGCGGAGTGACAGGTATCGCTGGCATTGGCTTTGTTGTGTTTTGTGGTCTTCGGAGTGCCATCTGCGTCAAGCTGAAGCCACGCTGGTTCCCTTGTCTTTTCTTTCTGGTCCAGCACCTTTCGGCCTGCCAGGACTGCCACCCCGACCACGGTTGCCACAAGAGCGATCATAGCCACGATCTTCACCGGGCTGCGCTCAAGAGATCTCGAGGTGACGATGCCCTCATCAAGCTCGATGTCTTTCGCCTCCTCCTCCTCCGTGCACAGCTCAGCTCGTTGGAGCAGCCGGGCATGGTCTGTGTTTCGATAGGCCGGCATGGCGCGGATGAAGCTCTTGAGCCGATGCCGAAACTACAGCCAGGGCCAGGGCATCTTGAAAGGAGCTCCCTAGGAAATGCTTGGAGATTCTGCAAGAGACGAAGGACAGCACGAAGCTTTTGATTCGACCCCGCGCTGCGTCCTTTGATGAGCTCCTGCACTTTTGGGATGCGCGTAGAGCCTTCAAAGCAGCTGCTGCCGAACTTAGCACCTTCAGAGAAATGCCAAGCTTGGTCGTGTCCTCCCACCATGACGATGTCCGAGATCGCCTTCTGTGGCAGGTTGCTGTCCTGCGAAATCTTTTCGGCAGCTGTTGCTCACCGGGTTGACACAAAGCAGCGATCACATGAAGGTGCCACTATCGCATTCAGAAAAAGTGATCAAACCGGGCAGCTGTGCTCCACACCTGAGCCAACAAGGTCTACTAAGTACTAGTCGAGGCTTTCATCCTTGAGGCACTGTTCCACAGGCTCCATCGCCTTCTTGAAGTAATCCTCGCATGAGTTATGCCAGCCCACAGCTGCCCCACGTGCGGAAAGAAATTTAGGCGTGGCTTCCTTGTTGTTCATTCTGTGCCTAGCAAGGCTCGGTATGGGTGCTACCTTCCAGTAGATGGGTATGACGGCTTTACTGACTAAGGACCATCTGCATTTATGCACAGCTCCAAAGCAACTCTGGAAGGATAGGAGTCTTGCTAAATCTGTAGCCACGCATCAAAGTCAACTCAAAGAAAACCGACTCGAAACCCACCGGTATTCCAGTAGTATGTGGCTGGATCAGTTCTGGAGCAACCAGCCCCGAAACAAACTGCACGGCGAACTCCGGCCAAGCAGTTCAAACTGACTCGGCAAGGCAACATGTCAACATTTTAGGCACCTTATACCCGTGGACCCTTGCAGCTGGGCTCGAAGGTGCGCGATTCGGTTGCAAGTGAGGTGATCTCGCAACTCATAAAGCCGGAACTCCTAAATTACACCCTGACCCCACAAATGTCTGAGTAAACCGCAGGGCCCTAAACCCTCTCGGCATTTGCCTAGGAGTTTAATCATGCCTGCGGCTTGCTGCCAGGGCCAAGGCTCCAAACAGAGCTCTTCGAACTTGGCCCTGGAGAGTCTAAGGCTGAAGTCGTTGCCATCCTCGGCCACGAGGCTGGGCTGCGTCGATTCCATGACCATCGGTGGATAAGCATCTTGGGTCTGTTTATCTTCACGTGTATGCATCCGTCCATCCAAAAACCCACCTACCCACGCAAAACAGAAGCAAGCATGTATTGCTGCTCACGTATGTGCACACACGCAGGTACCCATTACATACGACGAGTAGGTAACTATCTTCATCGCCGATCTTGTCGTCATTGGTGTCATCTTCAGCAACGACATACGTCGCCAATGCTCGCCGTGCGCCACCACCACCCCCCACACACACACACATACACACACACACACACAAACACACACACACACACACACACACACACACACACACACACACACACACACACACACACACACACACACACACACACACACACACACACAACACACACACACACACACACACACACACACACACACACACACACACACACACACACACACACACACACACACACACACACACACACACACACACACACACACACACACACACACACACACACACACACACACACACACACACACACACAACACACACACACACACACACACACACACACACACACACACCACACACACACACACACACCACACACACACACACCACACCACACCACACCACACCACACCACACCACACCACACCACACGCACACACCGCACCACACACCACACGCACACACACACACACACACACACACACCCGCACACACACACACACACAGACAGACACAGACAGAGACAAATGTTTGCGCATGTTCAATGCTCGCTTGAGACGCGAAGCACCAGGCGGGACCGCAATGTGATTTTGAGGGGCTGCAGCCAACTGCTACCTGCTATATGTCCGCAGGGTCAAGTCCTCTGAGAAGTGCTTGGCCTCCAGCCTGAAGCGCCACTTTATCGGATCCTAGCTTGATAGGGCCAAGAGTCGTGCAGGGAGTCTACCTCGATGGTCACGGACGTCTGTGTTGACAGCTGCCTGAGGACAGGCAGGCTCACGATGAGTGCAGGCACGGTTGATCAACCTGCACAGTGTGCTCCTCTGTGCACGCGTTGGTACTGGAACACCTGCAGTACATTCCAGCAAGTTCTTCAGGAAAGCTACGTAACCGCGCTCTGTTTATACCACCGAAATCAAGGATCCAAGCACCATGCTGTCACGCTTGTCTGCAAAATTCTGAGCCAAACACAAGACGTGCTGCAGGCTTCAGTGGGCCTCTTCCTTTACAAATAGTCTTGAGAAACATGCATCGGCCGAAAATCCAGCACCGTCTTATTCTCCGAAAGCAGCGCTGACTGTGGTCAGGCTTTACTCTGAGCACATGTGCCTGTCATTACCCCTGATTTTTGAAGCAATTTTTAAAAAGTCCCGCGCCGACCTGGGACCACAGAAAAGCAGTGGGCTGTTCGATTTCCGGCAACGTCCGTGGGTTCTCGGAAACTAGTTGCAAGTGCATGCCTGGGGACCCAAGACGAGCAGAACAGTTCAGGCTTCCCTTTCGGCTCGGAACGTCACTTAGACGTATCTGGGGAACCGCAGATGCCCTCAGCAAGCCCAGACCCCTGACCTCTTCGCCCTCTCGCACTGCGTGCGCAGCCGGCGGAGCGCCCGTTGGTTGCGTGTTGGGTCAGCCCCAAACTTCCTGTTGACATCATTGTTGACAATGCTAGCCATCTAATCAAGAGCAGGACGGCCTTGACAGTGCCAATAGTACCGAACCAAATGTGTGAGCATACAGCTTTCGTTTTGCCTGATCACCAGCAGCTAGTGCTACTGCTCGTGATGCTGTCCGGCATCGCATCGTCGTCATAGCAGCACGAGAGGTAGTCACGGCAGCAGCAGCTGCAGAAGGAGAGCAACATCAGCAGCGTGGTCGTCGTTGAAATGGCACTGGCAGTGGCAGTGGAAGTGGTAGTGGTATAGTGGTAGCAGCAGCAGCATTAGAAGTAGTAGTAGTCGTGGTCGTTGCTGTGGGCTCCAGTAGTAGTAGTAGTAGTAGTAGTAGTAGTAGTAGTAGTAGTAGTAGTAGTAGTAGTAGTAGTAGTAGTAGTAGTAGCCGTCGTCGCAGCTCGAGTAGCACAAGCAAGCAGTCAGAACAGTGAAAGCTTCAATCAGCCCTGATTTCCCTGAGGTCCTTCGGAAGTCCGCAATGCAGTGGCTGAGGATTCGGTTGTCGAAATCCTGGCGTCGTTGGGCATTTGCGCTTGAATGCCTTCACATCGGGCGGCTTTCTTGCTTGGGACCCGGTTTGTGGGCAGCCTGGTCTTCTTCTGAAGAGAATGGTCGGGACTGCTCTCACACTTCGGAGTCTAGCTGCAGCGGCATGCTGAACCAGCACAGGGCCCTGGCCAAACCAAAACGGTTGATGGTCCTCGCCACCCAAATGAGGGTCACCGGCGGTGGCCTTCACTTCAAAGACGGAGTCCTGCCGTGCTTGCATTCTCGGACAACACTGGAGGAATAGGAACAACAATGGCCACTGAATTGAAGCTGCTTACAGGATTGTTCGGGGCGACTGTTCGCATAATAAGTGTTAAGGTGGTCGGCAAGTCTGTGACGAGCATCCAGCCCCTGCAAACATTGCGCAGCCCAAGAAACTTCGTCTTAAACCCGTCATGTATATGTGCGGAGCATCCCATACAGCAGGGACCATGTGATAGTTGCCCATGTTCAGTTTTGCACAGCTCCTGGATGGCCAGAACAGACACATCAAAGGTACCGCCGCCCATGTCGAACACAAGTATGTTCGTCTCCTCCAGGGAGCGAAAGAAATCAAGAAAGCAGAAGCTTGCAGTAGTCTCATTCTCATCCCTGCTCAACTGCTACGCACACTTGATTGGTACCGTCTGGGGGCGAGGAAATGCGAGGAGCAATTTGTCCTCAGTCGAACATCCGACAATCTATGCTCTGCTCTGACATTTTGGAGAAAGCGCAGCAACAGATGGCCACTGCCCGGCAAAAGTCTGGCAAGCACGGCCACTTTGCTTAGACGTTTCGTCTCCTTGTCTGGCTTTTTCCCTTCGGCCGAGTCCTTGTCCAGACCATACCTCTAGAGCATGTCCCGATTGCGCCGCAGAGGCTGCCGGTTAGTGCGCGTTACTTGCAGCCGAAGTAAACAGCTGCTGTTATGGCTCGCACTCCCCTGCCAGCTGTGCACTCAGTTCAGCAATTGGTAGTACAGCGATGCTACGGCCGTAGAGATGATAAGTCGCATCAATCAGTGCCAACAACGACAACTAGACGACGAGCAACAGAGCTGATCACGGACAGTTGGAATGGTGAAGACGCAAACAGCAGCAAGACAAGTGACGAATGATGGGCTTGAATGTGTATTATGCAGTGACACGAGATTCAACACTGCTTACTACGGCTTGTCAACATCATGGGATGAACAGTCGCCGTACCGAATCTTTGTGGTAGTTATGCAAAACACACGCAGCATCAACCATGGTAGTCACGAAAAACAGAGCTGCAGACATTGAAACTAATTAGTCGGCACGGCGGCAGTCTCAGCCAGAATTGTATATAGCATTGCAATTGCCAGACTGGTGGAAATTCGGCCCAGGTGCGCGATGGCTGCAGCTGTAGGCTCGTTCACGATTCTTAATACCCGCCTGGGATGAAGAGAGCCGGAGGAATTACAGTCATTGCAGAGGACCGAGCTACGTACAGATGTCATATATATGCGTGCATATATTACACGAACAGGCGGGTGCATGTCCTATCGGTTATGCACACAGGCAAGCGGGGGGGGGACCGAGAACGCAAGCGCACATAACCAAACATGCACATCTGCGTGTGGGGATTGTTCCTTAGTCAATACTGACATCAGTTGCAGCCATGTGCTGGCAGTCAAATCGGGTTGTCTCGTTGTTGCTTTCTTGCCTTGTTGCGCTGCTGCTATGGAAAAGCGCACCAAGAATTACCGTCACCGACTCAACCAACAGCATGGCCATCATCCCGAGAGCCATTCACGCGGCTACATAGTCTCATCCTTCTGAATATTCAATATGTTATTACTACAACTACAACGTCTCAAACGTAGCGCCACCATTGCAAGAAGCTGCGGCAAGCAAAAATATACTTCCGGAGGGCATTTGGGCAGGATTGCGCCCCCAAGAGCAGTTGTAATGGGGAGGAGGACAGCATAATCAGGGCTTACTCGGGAGAAAGCAGGGCACTAGGGATCCTGAAAGGGTAAAGAAACGATTTGGGCCGTATTGGAAGACAAGGATCGCAGCTCTTTTCTGTCTCTGTCTACGAGCTGGCTCTAGCAAAAGCTTTTCGAACCCAATGAAGGAAATTGAGCATAAATGATGCTTAAGTCGTCAATAAAGTACTGAGTGACCGGAGTCATGTCCTGATAACCTTGAACCAGAAACGCCACACAGAAGACGTTGTTAATCAATTGCGGGTTTCGGGCTGGGGGTTGAGGGTCTTACAAGAAGAAGCTTCTATTATGTTCTGGAGCAAAGTCAAGATGCCAAAACTACCCCCCCAAACATCAACACCAATTTTAGTGAAAATCGCGCTTCAATATTAGGGGGAGATACTATACGAAGCGGGGAAAGAGATGACCCTGTCTTTTTAACGCATCGATGATCGCAGTTCTAGGTTCACCGCCCCCCACCCCACGACCGGCCACCCTGGGGACAGATGTACACATGCCTGTGGCGGTGCTTACTTACAACATGTTATGACATGACACGACATGACACGACAAGACTCGACATGACATCGCATGGCTGCGCTACACGAGTGTACCGATCTATGTCCAATGTATATGTGTGCGTGAATATTATAAATGCAGACACCTGTGTGGGTATAGGTACGTATGTCCGTCTTTATGTGTTTGCGGATAATTCGGTAGAGTTCTGTGTGGATGCATGCATGCATGTGTATCTTATATCCTTATTTCATTCAGCAGTCCCAAAAACTATTCATCATTAGGGCTTTATTTAAACAATAGCAGAAAACAAAAAACATCCCAAATCGATACCTATCTAGGGAGGGAAAATCTTTTCACAAGTCTTTTCACATACAGTCAAGGAGGGAGGGAGAGAGAGCGAGAGAGAGAGACAGAGACAAAGGGAGAGAGAGAGAGAGAGAGAGAGAGAGAGAGACAGAGAGTCAGAGAGACATGGATCGCACAATGACTGGGGTTCCTGTTACAGTCCAGGCTGCATGCCTGCGATCTCGCCAGCGTCCTTCGTTGCTTGGCGTTGGGCGTCGTTGAAGTACGCCGGGACTGTGATGACGGCATCCTTGACCTTCGCCGACTGACATCTCCATTGGCTGGGACTCACAAGTCACAGCGTGAGGGTCCTTGCATGTTCCTCTCCTTTATCCCGCCAATCGCCTCCTCTGCGAAGACTACTGGGGCTCCCCGTCTGCTGTCGTTACCCGGAACACAACGACAGCATACTGCGGCCACAGCTGCGCGATGTCCAAGGTATGCCTGTCAAGGGCATATGAAGAGCAGCTTTTGGAAACAATCGGCAGCCATATATCTGTTCTTTTCTTCAGACCGCACACCCGTCACGAAATTGGTCCTTCAAACGAGTTTCGGAGCATCGCTACGCGCGAACAAGAATGCCACAAACGACAAGTTTGCCTACCCATCCCAGGTGTAAAAATGCCTCAGCCGTCGTCTTCATTTTCGTGAGGATCATCGAGCTAATCTCTTCTGGATGAAACTTCTTCACGACATTCTGGTAAAGCACTTCCTTGGCATCACCGGCAAGGATTTCCAGTGTCATCTTGGCGCGCAGCTCGATTTCGGGCTGTTGCATCGGGGGACAGTTCGGCTAGATAAGCGTACAGTACCACAAGGATGCATTGCATCATTATAGGTTACATACATCTGTGCCTATGTCATTCAATATTATATATATATATATATATGCTCACCCCCCCCCATGACAGACCGTCGTGGGGAAGGGGAAGGGTGGCGTGCGTCCCCAGGCAGGATCTGTCAACGGATAGGCGACAGACACTTCTCCCAAACTCAATTCCAAAATGTTCTTTTAGATGGTTTGCAATTTTTGGAAATTTCTTCACACGCATGCAGCGCTCCTAGTCCCAATCTTAATCTCAATTCTGCTCTTCGTACCACTATTACTGTTTGTAGATCTTAATTCTTGTATCAGTGTTAGCATTAGTATTAGTTTTGTGGTAGTATTGATATTAGGATGTTTAGTATGAGTAATAGTATTCGAATTAGTATTACTCTTAGTATTAGCATTAAGTATGTGTATTGATGTTAATAGTAGTAGTCGTCGTACTAGCAATAGTTGTCGCACAGCAGTAGTAGTGGTAGCATTAGTATTGGTATTTGTATTAGTATTAGAATGAGTATTAGTATTAGTATTAGTGACTAGTATGAGTATCAGTATTAGTTTTAGTATTAAGTATGTGTACTAGTAGTAGTAGTAGTAGTAGTAGTAGTAGTAGTAGTAGTAGTAGTAGTGGTGACATTAGTATTGGTATGAGTATGAGTATTAGAATTAGTAGCTAGTATTAGTACTAGTATTAGTGTTAGGATTAATATGTATTGTTCTTGGTTCTATTCTTAGTACTGCTGTCATTGTTTGTAGTAGTCCTAATCCTGGTATCAGTGTTCATATGAGTAATAGTTTTGTGGTAGTATTGATATTAGGATGGGTATTGCTTTAGTACTAGTATTGGTATTGGTATTTAGTATTAGTATTAGCATCAGTATTAGTATTAGTATTGAATAAAAGTATACATATCAATAATAGTAAATATGAACTCGTGATTATGTTCGTGCTGGTGTTAGTGCCAGTGTCGATGTCAATGTCAGTAATAGTACTCGTGTTAGTATTAGTATCAGTCTGAATGCTGGTTTTAGTATCTGTTTATTATTCACAGAAGTGCTGGTATTAGTATCAGTAATAGAAATAGTTTTGATATGTGAATATACTGATTGATTCGTACATTTTGAGCTTAATATAATAATACAGTAATGTATTCGAACAATAGTATATTTGCAGAGTTGAAGATTGCGCGAATATATTAGTACGTTGGTGCATGAGTACATTAGTATATTGGTGTATCATGATATTCGTATGTTAACGTAGTAGTATATTAGTATATTATTATAGTGGTCTATTACTACATTTACTATATTCGTATTTTCCCTAATAGCTTATAGGTATATCAATATGTTGGCATAATGGCATGTGAACATGTCAGTGTACTTGCCTTTTACAGTATTCGTATATTAGTACACTAGCATATTTAGTGATAATTAGTGTTGATGCCAGTGCCAATGTCGATGTCAGTTTTAATCAGTCTTAATGATGAATTTAACATCAGTGTAATCTTCGCGGACGTGCTAGTATGCGTATCAATACTATAATTAGTTTTGATATACTAGTATACTGATAGATTATATAAACAGCTTAGTATACCAACACATTATAATGTATTCGAACAGTAATATGTTTGTATACCTGCATGTTTGTATGCTCTTAGTATATTAATGCATGCGTACGTTCGTGCATGAGTACATTAGTATATTGGTGTGCTATTATCTTCGATTATTAACATATTAGTGTATGAGTATCCTGGTATGCTACTTCATTTATCATATTCGTATATTATCTAACAACTTTTTTGGTATATCCATATGTTAGTATACCATTGCCATGTGTCAGTGTACTTGCATATTACAGTATTCGTGTCTTAGCAAGTTAGCATATCAATACAGTATAATCAGACGTTAACAAGTAGTATATTGTCACGTTGGAAACTGGGTATATGACAAATTAAATACGAATATACTACGTTAGTACACGAATGCATTGATATATTTGCTTTTCAGATAGTGGTATGTATATCTGCGGACATTAATATACGCAGGTGTCTGTTAGTATTGGCATTAATATCAATATGAATATGACTATTGGTAGTGTTAAAAGCACTACACAGTAATCTTACTTGAGTCATATATAGAGCAGATTCCAGCATTTCCAAAATTTCCAAAATTCTCTCCCCTAACTTTCCGGATTTCCAAAATTTCCAAAATTTCTAAAATTTCTAAAATTTCCAAAATTTCCAAAATTTCCAAAAAGTCCGCCCTTATGTTTTGGAAAAATCCTGTCGACTAGGTCGGGAAATTTTGGAAATTTTGGAAATTTTAGAAATTTTGGAAATTTTGGAAATCTGGAAAGTTAGGGGAGAGAATTTTGGAAATTTTGGAAATGCTGGAATCTGCTCTATATATGACTCAAGTAAGATTACTGTGTAGTGCTTGTAGTGTGTCAGCACAACCCTCATCCATACACGTGTGCTCTGTAATTCCTTTCTTGGTAGGACACCCGCGCGCCTTATCGTGCTGCTTTCTGGTCTCAGTCTTTTGGTGGTTCCAGGGATACGTTCGGAGGGCTCAAACTCGATACTCCGGAAAAAGCACGAACACGCCGGTGGGAGCGATGTTTTAAAGGGGATGGTCTGTCATGGGGGGGGGGTGACCATATATATATATATATATACACACACATATTATAATATATAAGTTGGAGATGGATGTCGATGAGGAGTGCGTGTGTGTGTGTGTGTGTGTGCCCTCTGCGCCCGAAATTCTTCAGACCGAATGCCGGCAAGCCCTGAACACCTGTCTGCAGACCCTGTCGGAGGCTCTATCAACGGCTTGTCGTCCTTCGTGCCGTCGGAGACCACTCTGAAAGGCCAGAGCTTTAGGTCGGCCTGCCAGACCACAGAGGCCGTGAGAACACCAGTCACTAGTCACTAGTCCTGTCTCTTCGTTCTGAGAGGCTTGGGGATGCGGGCTGTGAGAACCTCCTATTGAATGTGATCGTCATCAGTGTAGAAGGAGCCCTAAGGCTGCAGGCCAGGGTCACATCCTGGATGAAAAGCAGGCAAAGCCATGCCTTTCAACCGCATGAATGTATCACAAACCCTGTTGGACTATGCCGGGTGGGGGGGGGGGTTCGACATGTTCACTCGGTCTATTATTGAGAGCCCACCTGCACGATCGGATCATCGAAGCGCCTTCCGATCAAACGCTTGGCATCGAAGACAGTGTTGGTCGGATTGCTGGCGACCTGAAGCTCCGGCGAAGCATGCTCTCGTGGGCAAGGTGCTCTGCATAAAACACGTCATACTCTCGAAACAACGAAGCAGCTGCTGAGATAAAGAGCTGCAAAGACATCGAAATAAAAACGATGGCGACGAGGAGGACCAGACAGCAATAGCAACCCCGACACGGACACGGACTCCGACACCGCCACCGCCACCGCCACCACCACCACCACCACCACCACCACCAACAACAACAACAACAACAACAACAACAACAGCAACAGCAACAGCAACAAAAACAACAACTACGCCAACACCAGCAACCACACCAGCACCAACACCGACACCACCACCACCACCACCACCACCACCACCACCACCACCACCACCAACAACAACAACAACAACAACAACAACAACAACCACAACACCGACAACAACGCCGACAAGAAGAAGAAGAAGACCAACTACTGCCCCCCGTCAGCTTAAATATCTGCTTTTGTCATCAGGTAGAGACAAAAGCAGGATCCCCCTCCCCCCACAACAACAACCAACCGCTATAGTCTATAGTGCACGGGGCTTTAATGGCATTTGGCGCCGGGGACTGACAAGGGTTTCAACGGATTTTGCGGTGGTTTCACTGGGTTTCACAAGGGATTGTCTTGGGTGTTGCCACTGTTTCACGTACATTAGAAGGGCTTCGATTTGCGAAGGGTTTTAGAAGGGCTGTCATGGTTTTATCAGGGCTTGGGCAGGATTTCTCCTGGATTAGAACGGATGACGATCCTTCGCAAAACCACTAGCACCCGTCTAAAACAATTAAAATGAAAAACTTTCCACAACCCATTAGCTCAACATGAAAGAAGCACCTGGTTCTTGGCTGCATCTCCCAAGAGCCGCTCCTGAAGCGGTAGACGACATGGGGTTACTGAGCTCTAGGGGTCTTCGGCTGTATATAAAGCTTTGGCAGCTGGCTTTAAGAGATGAAACCTATAGCTGTGGCATTGGAGTTTAGGGTTTTGTCAGGTCAGCTCTATTGTCAGTAACACTCAGGGAACAACCCGTATTTCTACAGTACGAGGCTCGTCGGGGTTCACCCTCGCGACAAATACACACTTTCGATGCTGTGTGTACAAAGCGCAGCCTCAACTTTCAAACCGGTTTTCAAGGAAAGCTATGCGGAAGTCTCGTTGTTTCTTTCGCACCAGCTCCTACTCCTGTCTTGTCAACTCCCAATCCTCAAATGGAATCTCTGAGTCTGAACAAAACGATGTGGAATCCTCAAACCAGCCCATGAAGTCGGTGTCGCAAGCCCTTTCCGTGGTCCTGCTCTGTCCACGCGACATAAGACGGTGTGGTGCGGTTTCCCTGGTCGTTCCTGGGCTCACAGGGACACCCTCACTATGAGTTCGCGCCACTCTGAACCACAATCCCTGAAATTTTCCAGACTCTACAGTCGAACAAGCAGAGCACATACCCTGGGCCGATGACACCAAAATAGTAGGATTCATATAAGGAACCCTAATAAAGGCCCAAGGTTTCTTAATCAGGTTCCTACATCCCACCACGTTCCAAGCCAAAGCTCGCAATGATCTGCACCTCTCCATCTTTGTAGACCTGGGCATGCCCCATTATACTATAAATTCAGAGTAATGAACCCCCACCAAAATAGTTATTGGTAATTATATGTAGGCGCGATGTAGGCCCCTATATTCGGGCCCACTGATGAATAGAGTAAGGTCTTGCGTCTTGGGGTGCAAAAGCTACCCTATACCCGGCGGCCCAAAGAATACATGGAACCGTGTCGGGGAGGGGTGCTGACGGGACGTGGTATTTTGGCTCGTGGGCGGCGTGCACGGCCCAAAAGCAGCACACGACCACACCAGCGGAAACTGTATACTCAAAAGACTATCTCAAAGAACATGACCGTAAAGCATTCCCCCCGTTGTTCGCCAAAGCCAAACATTGAGTTTCAGCGGGACTCCTACGGCCTCCTTTGTCTCAAAGACTAATCCTAGAAGCTTCCGATATGCCGGCAAGAGGCTCCAACGCAGGAGTACGTGGTACCCAGATCAATGCCCACTGCGTGAGTCTTCGCCTCCTCCTCTGTAGCAGGCTGCATGGCTCCGCCGGGGCAAAGCTCCGTAAGTTAGCGGCACGAACATGTTGGACTAGCATAGTTTTACAGGCGATATCTGCTGCTGTAAATACGGGCTCGGTCCATACGGCAGTTCACAGGTCATCCGTGAAACAACCTGAGGGCCTTGGGAGGCTGCCTGTGATGGCCTTCTCGGCTACGACGATTCCGGTGCCGGAAATTAGGCCGGTGCTAGCTGCTAGGTTTGGGCCATGCCAACTTTCAGTTCTAAGCTGACTAATCATATCCCAGGGGTCTGAAGAAATGCCACTCACTACTAGCATGCACCTCTAATCTCTGTATAGCAATGCTCCAAGTATTCGGGTCATGGTGGGCCTTCCACACCAGAATTGAACCAAAAGGCTGCCCAGGAGTCAGCCAGATCTATTCCAAAGACAAATGGGTAGTTGTCAAAATTATGGTCCCCTAATTGGGTACCGTAAATATGAGGTGCCGTATTATATTAAGGACCCAAGAACGGACCGTCAGTTTCACAACCACCCAAATCAAGTTCGACGCTCAAACTCGCACAGGCAGGCAAGACTCCACAAATCAAGTTAGGGTTTCGGCGCTCCTGTCACACCCGGACAATCCAGGCGAGGCTTATAGTAGGGCTGTTGTTGACACTCACTCTCGAGCAAGCCTGGCAAGGCTTGTAGCAATGTGGTAGGGTTTAGGGCTTGCGGTTTATGCAACCGGTCACGCGGACTGTCACGAAGCGAGACACTTGGCGACGAAACGGTCCTCTTTTCAGCGCTTCAGGCATCAAGATAACTTCGAGTCAGAGTCCTCAGTTCTAGACCCCTCAATTCTGGACCCCACCGATGAGGGCCCACCGCAATCTCGTTCCTTGGGCAGCCAAGGTATTCTAGCAAGGAAGCAACATCGGCCTGCATCTAACATTGCACAGAAAGCCGTGGCGATCAATGAGCGAGCTGCCGGCGATTCAGAATCTCTTGCTGCATGTCCAGGCGTGGTGCCTCGGCATTCCTCCTCCTCCTCCTCCTCCTCCTCCTCCTCCTCCTCCTCCTCCTATCCTTCCCCTCCTTAAAGACATGACGTCAGCAAATGCACAACTTCAGCAGATCAGGCGGCAGCCTCCCTCCTCAAATGCTGGAACGCACACGCGCATTGATTTCAAACAGCCAAGAAACAACACCCCCCACCTACCTAATAATTAACTTATGTCCAAGACCAATCCCTCAATTATACTCTGAATTTAATAAGGAACCCCCAACATAGTGTAGGTAATGATAAAGGCCCCTGTAGCTACTTGCTTCGAAGAGAAGACCTGCCCGAGAACCCTGCTCTGCTTTGCGGAGGCCTCCTGGGTAATCGGGGCCATTCACAGTCTTTGCAGTACCAAATAAGAGTTTCCGAAAAGTAGGGGTACCTTATTTGGGGGTCCTTATAATAAGGACCCTACTAGGGTACTATATTAGGATCCCCTATTTTCGGAAACCCCCAAATAGGGCCAATAAGTAATCAGGGGTAATATAGGGGTTGTTGGAAGGTGTACGATAAGGGTTTCTGTAAGGCGTCCTGCAACGCCATGAGCAGTACTATGAGGGTTGATTCGGTTATTATGATAAGGGGGAAGCATAAACAACCACCGCTTCTGCCGTAGCCACTGCCTGCACCAACGCGACTTGCCGCTGCCACTACGACTACCTAACCAGCCACGCTTGCTACCACCACCACCACCACCACCACCACCACCACCACCACCAGCGCCGCAACCGCGGCTACTGCTGTTATAGTAGTTAGTGTACTCCTGCACTCCACTGCAAAAAAAGTCATACAAGTAGTACTACGACAACAGCCACTAACTGACGCTGTTGTTCGCGAGTCGGCACGCTAAACTTCTGCTTTTGCTTCCTTGCAAGCTGCTGGCCAACACTACCTGAACCATGCCACCATGCTGATGACAGCATGCCAACACATAGAGCCCGAGGTCCTAAGATGGTTTACACCTGCGCAGCATCAACCAGCTCTGTGTGTTTGTGTGTGCGTAGAAGAAACCACTCCCCAGCTCAGTTCCTTCTCATCTGCTTCCGTCTGGGCTTGGCCATCCGGCGGACCGGCCTGATGAGGTGTGCGGACATCACGCAATGCCATCACAAGGTCAAAAACTCCGAAAAGCGCCGCAGTCTCAGCATCATCCCACAGGCCCAGCGAGGAAATGCGGGCAACTGGCCTTTCGCTCTCTCCTCCTCTGCCTCCTGCGACAAACATGCAGAAAGACAGGCAAATCGTGTCAATCTGCCTCACGGGCTCCGCGCTCAGAGTCAGGTCTACTTTGAATGTTCAACCACCTCATAAATCAATAGTTCGAATTGTGCTGAGATGCTTTCAGTTTCAGCATGTGTGTCATATACCGAGTCGCATGCACTGAAGAGCGTCGCATTGGGAGACAACAGGATGGTCCGTTCGCGAGGTCTTTGCTTGGGGAGGCCGGTGCCGAAGCCTAAACTTAAACGTCGCATGCGGCACCGGGTTCTCTCTCTAGTCGGGGCCACATCACTTGGACCTCCAAGCCAACAAACAAACGTCCTGGACCCTGAATCGTTGTTCCCGAACCCCAGACAGATCCCCCTAGTCAGCACAGAGAACCTGGGGCGCCACCCTTTTGTGTTTTGCCAATTTGAACACCCAACCCCATACATCCCACAAACCCTGAAACCCTCACAAACCCTGAGGGCCAACTGGCACCCTTGGGCCCACTATATAATGTAACAAGGAACCCCCAAATATATAGGAATTATGAAGGCGCCATATTAAACACCGAGAGCCACGTCCTTCTGCCGTTTCCCTCCTCTGGCTCCTGGCGACACACGTAAAAACGCAGAGTGTGTACATGGCTGGACAGAGTGTACATGCACGCAGGCATATCTAACTCTATGTATATGTGCTAGACATATGCTAGCTTCAAAAGTATATAAGAATTCATGAAAATACCCATGACTAGATGCGGAGTTACGTACTCACTTTTGGTTAAACTGGTATTCGTCTGTATAGGTATAGGTATGGTTATGTACTGTAGCTGCACATACACATGCTTGATATCATGTGGACTCTACATGCACATAAGGGCAGGTACAAGTATTTCATACATGTCTCAGGGTATAGAGCATGCTTAAACCAGAACGTACTTCGTTCAGGGTGCTCAGAGTGGGATAACTCTTGGCAGCTTAACAGCTGAAGCGCTTCCGTGAAACCCTAAAAATCCCTAAACCGAAGTGTATGGATTGGCATCTCATCCCAGCTAGCACGACAGGATAGCCCACTCTAGGGACAACTTTGGAGGGCACACTGATCATATGGTTTAAGGGTTAAGCTCTTATCAAAAGCTACAGGCCCGACAAACCAGTTCTACTCCCCTGCTCGTACTCGGGCACAATTCATCTTACCTTGCACTGCTACAGCTGTTGGGGCCCAAGAGGCCAAGCCACTTCGTCAGATGGGCGGCTACAACATGCTACAACTCTTGCGGTTCACTTGTTTTGCAGGGCTCACAAAAAAAAGCACGAAAGCAGCATTAGGCACGGATGCAAGCCCCACCTTCTTCCCCTCGTGCATGTTGCCTCGGATCTGACAGCCACGAAGGCCACGAAGGTTTGCATATGGATGGTTTGCGGCGTCACAGAACCCCGAAATGCTGGGGTCATACTTTGCTTAAGCAAAGCGACGACTACGATCGTTCTGTCTGCGACCAGCTCGGCCATCTCGTTTGTCCTGGCGGTCCTGGCACAGGGCAGCCGGGAGAACCGTGGAAAGGACACAGTGGTACCTCAGCCGGCTTCGTCGTTGTAGCTGTATCAGCAGCAGTCGCATCAATAGAAGTAGTCGAGCCTCTGTAAGTAACTATTGAATTATTGCCGGTGGAAGAACACTTTCAAGAGCCTCCACGCCAGAAGCAAAACGATCGTAGTGCCACGGCTGCCTGTGGTTCACGAATTGTGCTTCGAAGAGTCGAGCTGTGTTTGCTCGGCGTGGAGCTTGGACGCATCTCCGAAGGCGCAGTGAGTGAGAGACTGACTCAGTGAGGAATCATGAGGCCACCGGGAGACAATCAAGGAGACCACCAGGAAACCAAGACCAAAGTGCATTCTGCTGGTGAGATTCTTGTGCGCGACCACAATGCTTCCCCCCAGCTACTGGTGGCACTCATCGACACCGCCAACATTTCCGGACGTGGTTGAGGAGCACAGCCAAAATGCTTCCTCAAAGTACTGGCGGGATTCAGACGTTCAAAAATGAAGGCTAACAATGGCTTTCCGAGGGACGGGCCCGACCAATCCTGTGAAAAAATAAACTGGCGACACGACGGTATGTATATAATATGAGATGCATATACTACTCTGAAATATGTGTATATACGAATATATATACATACAGGACATGCGTGCAAAGCAGCACAGCAGGAGCTGCGTCCCGGGAAAGCTCGTGTCGCTCTCGCCTTGCGCACAGATCTGCTGAGACTTAACGTAAGATCTAAAAATGCCCCATAATTGCCATAATATAGATTGATATGGTGTGCCCCACGCTGTTCCGGAACTGTCCTCCGGCCGCTGCTGGCGATTCATTCCTCCTTTCTCTCCTTTCTCTCCGCGCTGCCTCACCTGGCAAGGAAAGTTGAAGGAGTGCCAGGCTGTCCATTTTCAAAGGAGCTGCTGAAGGATACTACTCCCACCGGACGGTGGTGTATAGGCATATTAGATGGATGAGGAAGACTCGCACACCGGCGGCGTGATGTTTTTTCCGCACTAACGAAGCCAGCCAGCATCCAAGACTCACAGTGAACGGGCCTTTTTACGCCTTCAAAAACACGGCATCTACGCGATACCGTGTGTCCGGAAACACGAAATTTATACCATGTATGCCTATACACACTTGCTGAATACCATGGTTCTTCGATGCTGCAAGTAGAAGCCGTATCATGTAAAGTGCTGTGTCCAACGCACTGCACGTTTCCCTCACTGAGC